CAAGGAAGAACCACTAACTTTTACATTGCAAAAACATTACGTTCTGGAAAAATTTTTTGATTCATAATGAATAATGTCAGGAATATGAAGAGTACCAATACCTGAACAGGTGAAATGAATGATCTACATGTATCTTATCTCAACACATTTAAATGCAATATGGTCATAAAGTGACCAATCAGCCTATGTGGAGGTTTACGGTCTCTTGGAGCCCTTCTATTCCAGGGGATTCTTGATTTTTCTATGAAATTATCATCAGAAATGGGTGTTCTGTGTCAACATGGTGAAATGATTTTTACATATCTAATATCTTTCTAATAGCTCTCGCATCGTTATTTCACATGAATGCGTATAAGTGTAAAAAACAATAGACTTTGTCAAAGTGTTCCATTGGACATATTTGAGGAGGTCCCCTGTATATTTTTCTACAGGGGGTCCATGTGACTGTGCGTGTGGAGTCAGGTGGAGGGGTGACCAGTGTCACTAACTGACCCGGGTGTGTGGAAGCTGTTTGGACAACCTGTCTCTGATGTAACCGGCTCAGAAAGAGAAGAGCTCAAACCTTGGAAGTGAACAGACTGCTGAGCAGCTCCTCCTCCAGTGCTCGCTGCTCCTGGTCCACATCTGTGAGTAAGAGGTAAACAGAAATATAACCTTCAGCCAAATCTAATCAGGAGTTCAGTCTATCCTGCCTGCTTCTGCTTGCCACAAGAGAAATGTCAAATAGATGTGGAAGTACAGAATGATCATTATCAATTTGTCTGAGTTGAAATTGAGATGTAAACTCCTCTCAACATGTGGAGACTGACTCAGTCTACAGTTTTATTTATGAAAGGCAACTTTAAGCATTCAGCAGGTGACATACTATTGATTTACGCAACTCTTTGTTCTGAGGGTGAAGCAGAACATAATTAACCCAATGATTCTTTTATCCAAAATCCATTTGTATTCTTTTGGTAATATTTTCTCTGCATGAACAAGGCTTCAAATTAATTTTCCCCATCTCACACGCCGACTGCTCCATGGCTCATTAGACCCAAGTGGCTTTGCACTCTACTTCCCTGTGGATTTAGATTGTTAAGAAGTTTAGTGCAGCCTGCATTTAACTGTAAAATACATGTTTTTTTTTTCCTTTCACTGGGTATCAATGATATTATAATAAAAAATATGGTTTGAATATAGTTTGTTTCTCTCTGGCTTATCAAGAGACTCGTCCAAATTTATTTTCAAACTGTTTAAATGGATTTAACAGCATTAAAATGAGAAATTATTACACAGGATCATTGAGAGAAAGGAGCTTAGAGGAGCTTAGAAAGGGGGAGGGCTGGTTGAATCAAACTTGGGTAGAAAATAAGAAGAATAAATGTCTTAAATTGAGGATATACTGTATGTGTTTTTATTCAAGGTAATTCAGTGTGGGGTTATAATGTTATTCGTCTCCTTTCACAAGAAATCACACATTAATGAAAGCAGTAATCATCTTTTAGATCTTGGCGGCAAGGGCATTCATTTGGAAAAATCGTTTTCGGTGAAGACAATCTTAGAACTGTTCGTTTGTATTTTAACAACAAACATATTTCCATCTTTAAAATATCAAATTCCAAAAAGATACACCTGTTGCACCCAGAGAGTTCAATACTGTGAATAGCACTCATGCTATTATATCTCATTTTGAATGAAGTAAATCCTAAAATGATGCAAACATGTAAACTCTGTTGAAAGAGCGGCGCTGCTTACCTGTACAAAGTCCCCCACATGTGAAAAAGAGAAGGAGCATACACGCCAGCTGTGCCTGCATCTTGATGAAAGTAAGAACAAAAGAAGAAAAAAAAAAGAATCCCACTCTGAAGAATTCACTTGGGGAGAATCTAGTCCATAAGTTTAAGGGTCAAACCCAGACAGCTAAGAGGGACTGGAGGTGGAGTGTGTAGTGACCCTGCTGCTGCTGCTGCCTCTTCTTCCTCCTCTTCTTCGTCTTCTTCTCTCCCAGCTCCAAACAGCGCTGCCCCTTCCTCACAGTTTTCTGGTTGGACGTGAAGTGCAGTTGGCTCCATTCCCTCAGTTTATAAGAGGCAACGTGATGTCAGAGGATCCCTCACCACCGCAGCTCCTCTTCTCCACCCCCACCATCCCATCCATTAACTCAGCCCCCTCCACCCATCCAACCATTCCACCTGTCACTGTCATTGTTTTATCAGACGTCACTTGAGCATCACAAGGCGAAAGGTTTTTGCGTCAGGGTTTTGGAGATGTGGTGTGATTGCACCTCGTAAATGCACACAGTCTGAGGTTTGTTCCTCCTCTCGTCTCCCTGGGAGGGGATGCAGGGGTGATGTGGGAGGATGCACGACAAACATTCACTCTGTATTTGCAAATCAACAAGTGATTGTCAAGACTTACCAAATGCCTGAAAACGACACGCATCAGCAGTCAGTTATTGTCAAGAAATATTTCTATAAAAAAATCAAATATTTCCACTTACTGTTTGTTGCTCTGCAATGTTTTAAAATCTATAATTATTGTGATTATTATCTCACTACTTATACAGTTTATTGTCTCCATTAGGGAATCTCTAAGGTCCATGTTTTAGCTGTTGAACATTATGATCAAATTTCTATTTTCTTGTCCATGTCTGATAAAAAGCAGATGTTCAAGGTTCATCCATTCATTCAATCCTTGGAATTTAAAACTACTAAATTCTGTATGAGCATTACTGAAATCAACAGAACTGCTCTGCCCACCTCTGCTTTGTCTCAGCTCCAGCAGAAACAAAGGAGCAAATGTGTAACAAAAGAAAATAAATCATTCAGCTTTCATTAACATGCTTCAATAATCAAGGCTACTGACAGTGGAAAAACAAAGAATGTGCCAGTCTCTTTAAATATATGTTGTATTCATAAAGTTACAGTATTCGTATGCTCTAGATATGATGAAACAAGTTAATAAAAATGACATGAAAGTATATTTCAGGATTATCATGTACACTCAGAGTGTTTTCCCCCTCTTCAGTACAAGCACTGTACTATTCATAAAGACTGATCTGCTCTTGGCTGGTTGGGTTAGCCAGGGTAGGGTGGGGTGGAGTTGGGGAAGGGCAAAGATAGGATAGGGTAGGGTAAGGTTAGATAGGGTAGGGTATGAGGGATGGTAGGGTAGGTTAAGGCAGGATGGGGTAGGGTAGGGTATGAGGGAAGGTAGGGTAGGGTGTAGAGTAGGGTACGGTGTTGAGTAGAGTAAGGTAGGTTAGTTCCTTGCTTAATTTAGGCCTATTGCCAGCAGTAAAGCTGTTAATATCCAAATTCACAACATGTATGCAATTCAGTTTAATTGATTTGAAGACCAACTAGCACTGGTTAGCTCAGCTAGCTTACTGTTGGTTCATATCTTGAAGGAATTTCCCCCTTGGGGGATCAATATGATTTAGTCTGATTGGACAGTTAGTGGGCAACGAGCTTATGGTCTGGTCAGCTCAGGTGTTAATACAGGGTTCAGTGTTGTGTGCTCATGTAGGAAATGTGTGTATCCATCTCTTCCACTTTGTGAAACCTCCGTGTTGAAAATATGCCGGTACATTTTTCTATTGCAGAGCGTGGAGATCATTTTCGAACTTAATTTAACCGGCTCAAAATATCATTGACCCTTATTTTACATAGTCCTATCAGTCTCAGAAGCTCTAGGTGTGAAGCAGTAGGTAAACGTGTCTGTAAAACATGTTGGAGCTGTGCTGAGTATTGCAGCCCCGGGGGCGGCAAACCCTCAGTGGGCCTGCATGACATGTGAACATAGATCATAGACTGTATGAAATCCAGATCCAGCCGCTGTGTTTCTGGTTTTACAGCACCATGGTGGGCAATTGACAGGTGTGTTTTCAGTGTTAATGTGCTCTGAAAGACATCACAGGACGGAAAAGGAGTGAAAGGAGAGAAAATGAGTGTCCACCTGGGTGTCATGTTTACATCACCGGAGCTGGAGCCATCTTACTATATAAATGTACATGTACATGTACATGCACATGCACATAACATGATTGCGTGGCTGGACCAGCTACCAACACAACGAACAGAGAAGCTCACACAACAAACATTCAGATCAACCATGACACCACTATATTTCCAGATGTTGACAGCTATATTAATGTTAAACATTATGTGTATATATACAGTATAACTTTAATATAAAGTAAATTCCCAGTTAGAACAACATGTGTGCTCTGCAAACAGAATTTGAAGCCAGTCTGGCGATAAAGCAGGTTCCTCTGGATGTCTGAATTGAATCTTTGTCATCACAATACTTGTCTTTAACATGACTGCAGCTGAGAGCATTTTAGCATCAGTTGCCTGACTTTTTTCTTTTCATTGCACAATTTGATTTATTTGTAGAGGAACCCATATTGAGACCAGTATGCAGACTGGCACAATGTCTCTACAATAAGTAATAACTAATATATGTTGTGATACATAAAGCAGTTTTACTGTTCTTCATTATGCTCATCTGAATCAGGGGGCAGAGCCAGGTTTTTTTTTTCACTTTCGTTAACATTGAGACATGGAGCGTTTTCAACATTTTCCTTGATTTCTCAAAGAATAACTCATGGATCTTGATGAAAACACTCAGACATGTTAAGCGGACTGATATTTACTATAAAGAGTTTAATATTTTGGTGCAGATCCAAATAAAGATTGATCTAGTCATGTTTTAATTTTCACATCTCCAAAATGTACTAATACCTAAAAGCATTTCTGCACTCTGCACTGTTCCACATTTTATCCAGATGACCTGCGTGGACTTTTTTAGTTTAAGTCTCAGTGTTTTCTCTTTCACTGAACTTCCAAAAGTATTAACCTCTGTCTCTGAAGTTTCACAAGTTGTACTTGGAGTAGGAAGGGGGCAGAGTTTCACTAAAAAAAACCTCTCAGTAGCTGGAGTGTGGTGAAGCACCTCCCTCCCCTGTTGGGATGGGGCGGCGGACAGAGTTGCAGTTGGGACACCCTCGACTTTCCTGAAACACAAAGTGTCCGACGTCCTGTCATGCAGGGACTGTAACTTTCTCCGGACTGTGGCCTGTTCCCTCGCGCTCCTGAGTCATGGCTCCGTTTGGGAAAAAGTTCCTGAAAGCTCGTCTGAAAAACAGGTAATTTAATGAACGTGATCATTCGTGACGGGAAACCTGTTCTGCGTATGTGTGTGTGTGTGTGTGTGTGTGTGCATGCATGCGTGCAGAGAAGCGCGCGCGCTCCTCTCTTTCTCCGTTTGGAGCTGTTGTGGAGGGAGAATTACGCACAACGCAGTGCGCACTGGATTTATGGTTCACCTGCGCAACGGTCAAATAAAACGAAACTGTGTGAATGCAGTTTTGAGTCAGCTTCTACGATGATGCCATAAATACATTTACCGTAGAGTGATATGAGACAAAGAGATGCATCATTAAATGACAAAACATGAACTTTGGCAGTATAAAGGGACGGGAACAGGCTGATCATTCATCCATTTTGACAGATATACCTCGGTAATGGCACTATGCGTATGTATGCTGCATGTGTGTTTCTAGAGGAGCAAGTAACCTTTAGTAGTTACCACACTTTGTAATCCAGGTAACTATATTTTTAACACACATGATGAGACGTTAACTAAAGTGACTGTGAGACTATGTTTTAGTTATTTCTTTCCACATTATGAAAGATTGGAGCACAATGTGCCTTTTGATAGTGGTTTCTAAAATACACTGAATGTCAACCTGTAGGAGCCTTGACCTCCTCTTGCTCTGTAATTACTGCAGAGAGATTTTCCTATTTAATACTCATTTCATCTGGGACTCTGGAGTCAGAGAAAATTCTCACTGCAGGTTGAGAGAGATCCTGTCATCAGCACCTGTATCATTTTCTCCAGCAATTTCTTTAAGTGAAGCTCGGCCTTTTGATGTGCCTCTGGCTTCAGCTGGCATCGGCCTCTGCTTTGAAATAGTGGGATGATTCGATTTACCCAGGCACCATCCATCCTCTCGTATTGGTGAAGAAATGATTTGGTGCTATGACTGCAGATTTTGTTGTTGTGCAGAGTTGGTAAACAGAGGTTTTCTTTTGGAGTTATCTAGGTCATGATCCAATCCCTTACAGTCTGCAGGCAGGAATCCTGTTGCCAAAACCAGGATCAGGGAGATTTTTAATGTGGCTATAGAAGTATTTTCATCAGATTTACCTTTTAACACTCTTATTTACCATCAAACTCTGTGGGGAAGTGTTTGGATGAAGTTCAGACGTAAGAGGTTTTGTTTTACAGCTCCTGCTGGTGACACCTTTCTCCAGTGGCACCAGCAGCAAAATAAATATATTTTCACTTGAGATATATTATCCTTGGTTTCTTCAAACAGTCTGACTGAAGCTGTCTCCATGAGCATGTCTTATGTTTTTTTTTTAATGTTGCGTGTGTAATTACTGCTGCTGCACCTACAATTATCTCAAGTGTTTAGATCTGTAGATAAGTCAAACGCTTGATTCCAGAGTATGGCTTTTACTCATGCTGAGGCATCGAGGTGGATATTGCTGAAGGATGACAAGATGAAGCCCATGTGGAGTTGCGGTCTGTTCAAACGTCAAAACCTTTCACAAACTGCCAAAATAAAATACGACGATGGTTGCAGCTTACATTTGCTTGAATGAAACTTTCGTCATCTAGTAAAACAGCATACATCAGGCCTGAAAGGGTTTGAAATGACTGTAAATGGTTTGCAGTCAGTGACATATGTGACCAGAGCGATGAAGTGACGTCTTCCCAAATCTTGCTCTGGGCCACAGTTACAACATGACAGCACGTGTGGTGGTGGATCATGATCGGGGGCTGTTGGACTAGTTGATCAAAATAAAATGGCAAAAGCGAAATAGAACGATTTTTTGTTATTATTGAAAATGACACATCCCATCAATCCACCTTTTNGGGGGGGGCAGCTGATCATGGACTAATATTTTCAACAAGACTGCTTGATATACAATATGCCCATTGCATACTCACATACTCCATTACTGACAATAACTCCTCAATTCATTTACTTACATTATGTTACAAACTGTTTATTCTAATCACTGTTGTAAATACTTTTATTTTGCTGATGTTCTCAGTTACAAGTGGCATCTATTGCACTTCTGTCCGTCCTGGGAGAGGCATCCCTCACATGTGGCTCTCTTTGAGGTAAAAAGGTTTTTTTGGTAGTTCCCCCTTCTCTTGTTGAGGGTTAAGGACAGAGGGTGTCACACCTTGTTAAGCCCTATGAGACAAACTGTGATTTGTGAATATGGGCTATACAAATAAAATTTGATTGATTGATTTGATTGCCCTATAAGACGCTGGAAATAGGATAACACAAATTAACAGGCAACGTCTAACAAGTTTGAAAGAAATCTGTTATTTGTTTACAGAGTCAGCAAGTCACTTATTTTCACTGGGCAAAAGCTTGTTTGGTTTGGGGGTGGGTGGGTAAGAGGAGTGGGTGGTTTCACAGAGGAAAGGAAAGAGGGGAAGGGGTGTGTTGTGTCTCTGCTCACAGATGCCTATCGGAGGAGTCATCATTCCAGAGATCAACACATCCAGAGAGAAAAGTGAGGTTATTTCCTCACCCATCCCTCATCCTCTCTCTCAGATAAGAGTGGAGAGGAAGTGTCTCCTGTCCAGCACTGGGCAGTTTGTCCCCCACCTTCTCTGTGTCTTTCCTCCCACAAACAAACCAGACTCAGAACACACTTTAGATACTTCTCTGATGTCCAATGTTTTAACTTTACCTGAGCGGTTTGATGGCTTTCTAGGGTTTCATACTCTGAAAAAAAACCTTTTCTGAACATGAGAGGCTAAATTAGAAGTTGCATGGTGGTCTGTCTCTAAACAGAGCTGCTCTAATTCATTTAGGAAATGCTAATGTAGGTTTTTATCTCAGGCAGCCTGGTGATATTAACCTTTACTGTGTGGAAAGCCTGTTGATGTATCATGAGTGATGTTAGTGGTGTGTACTCAAGCATAGTTTTAAGAAGACCTTCTTTCTGCAGAAGGTAGTTTCAAATGCTAAAATCTAATAATCTGAATTTTAAATCTTAATCTTGTTAACCTTCTTTTACTTCTATCAAGCTTAAAAATGTGCATTTTTAAAGAGAAACAAGACCAACATGGAACTGACAATTGAGTCTTTCTTTACTCGAGCACTTCACTTCATCTTTAGTCATGGGGGAGGGTAAGTGATTCTGGGTCTCGGAAATTGCTTCATATCTATCGTACTTGACATAGGTCTTACAGTTCTTTCATTGTGATCTTTAATGGTCTTAAAAACTCTTAATTGTAACTTGTTAAAATCAAGTTTTGTCTGTGGATCCATCGCTTTTCTCAGCAACTGGTGAACAGACTGTTGTGGATTTGGTGGCTAACGATGGTTCCCAGAGGAGGAATCCTATGACTTTTGTATTCCTCTGACTTTTTCTTTAGTGGTTGACATTTGTGAAATTGAATGTGGATGGATTTTGATGCACTTTCTTAGAAATGAATGCCCCCTCAGGACAATCGGTGACCTCTTACCTTTCCATATAGAGCCCCCAAAACTAATGATTCCAGTCATCAGCGTATACAGAACCGTGTTATGTTAAGTGTCACAGGGGTGACAGCATAGATTTGTGCACTAAAACCAGAATTATATGGATTGCTGGACAATAATGTAGGTGAAAAAGAAAAACATTTGGATGAGCTTTGGGACCCTTTAGAAGTCTAATCAGGAATGAGTCATAGTGCAATAAACAGGTTTGACTTCACTTATCTGCTGATTTCAAACCAGCCAATGTACTGTTTCTTAGTTTCAGCAATACTATGATCTGATTACACCACCAAACTAAACAGGATATAATCTTACCTGTTGACAGCAGGGGCTACAGGATATATTTACTGATGTGCTATCACAGCTGTGTTCCTGTTGGAAATATCTGCACCACCTTATCACATCACTATTGATCTGGGAAAACACAGCGAAGAGCTGTAATTTGTTATGACTCGCTCCAGCCGCCAGCCTGCGGTCCTCTGTGGTAACTTGTAGCTTGCAAATTTATGACACAAGAGGGAATTGTCGATGTCTACAAGGTTGTCATTATGAGTATTACAATGGAAGAGAGCCGTGCCACCACTGTGCAGCTGCAACGTGATCGTCCTACGCAGAAACTTGTTTTAAAATTCCTGTGATTTACATGTGGTTTCCTTCCTCATGTCTGATGTCTCACTGGGTATTTAGAGATTTAAGTTCAAGCTGAGGTCAAGAGCATCTGCTCAGGTCTCTTGTCTTTCACTTGTTTGCGTTGCTGTGATTTAATTTGCTCTCTTCCTTTCTGTTAAGCACTTTGTAGCTGTAAAGAAACGTGCATGACTAAAGTTTATTGTTGTTTTTTTCATTACAGGTATGAAACCTTGTATTAATTCCACTAGAGAGATCACATGTTTACAGAACACTGGCGTCTGCCTTTGTCACGTAAAACTCTTGTTTCATCTTCCTTTGTGTCTTCTACGAGTGTAGCAGCGCTTTTTCATCCTGGGATATTTGTATTCTTTGTGGTTTTTTTTCAGTTTTGTGGTGTTGTGTCAGAAATGTCATCAACACGCCCACTCGCCCACATGTAGAGGATCTCCTGTTGTGCTCTCACATTGGCTCATTCGCATCGTATACGTTTTTTTACCAGAGGGCTGGCTGGAGAAACTGTGTATAAAATCCAGAGCCACTCACTCGGACATTTGCTTTCTCATATGCAGCCCCCAGCTCAGTGCATGTCTGATCCATCCTCACTGGGACTGTTTATCATCATACATGTTAATTCCATTCCCTCCACTCTAATCACCCTGTTCAACTTCATCGCAATATCAGAATCGACTTCAGTGTACAGCTGTGAACACTGATGGCACCCTCAGTCGTTGATTCTGCCAACGTAGCTTCAACCTGAGCCATGAATATCAAATGGCACCCAAAGTGACAGCCCTGATGAATGTATTAGCTATGATGTAATCAGCCCGATGGTGCGTGCAGTGCGGGCTAGTGGTTTTGGCACTTGCAAAAACTGATACCACCATTATCATCGAAATGTTTGTCCTCAGAAAATAACAACAATTTCTCCCTTTCCAGCCTTGTGAGGTTCCTGTAATGCAGATTGTTTTAGTGTGAAGGCATTTTTCCATATTTTAATTAGTTTAAATGGTATTTATATTCTCATTATGAATTAATGTTCCATAAGGGAAGTGTGGAGGCTGAGAGTAAAGCATGTTATAAGTACTTGATTACTCTTTCTGTCGTATACACCTAGGCCCAAATTTAGCTGAGATAAGTTGCTACCTGTCATGAAATACTAAAAATGTAAATGCTTGACTTGTTTTGAGCAGCTGTTCAGGTTTCGTCTTCATCCCATTGAAGATCAATTCAAATATTATCATTTCTATCATCAGCCCAACCCATGTTTTTTTAACACTGCCTGACATTAAGGGTTAGATTCCACAACTCTTGACATATGTCTAACACACTTGCACCATGCACTTGTCAGCACTTTGTTCACATTAGTGAGTGGAGTTGAAAACCGGCCATAGTGAACAGTTTGGAATCTATTTTCCCTTCCTCCCTCTGTCCATTGAACCGGGTTAAAGGATGTTGTCTGAACATTGGAGATTTTTTTTTTTGCCCAGAACAAATGCAGGTGTTTCCAGGCCGTGCTGTACCCTCTTCCTGTACAGCTGAGGGCTCGGGTCACCCTCTCTGAAATACCCAATTGTCTGGAGAGTGTGTTTATTCACCTGCATGTGCAGATATGATGATGGACATGTTTCTCACATGCTTCGTGTTTGTTGGAAATGTTTTTGGCCTCTTCTATTTTTTCAATCCTTCCATTTGTGCTTTGCTGTGCAGCACAAAGCTGGTTCCTTAACTGTTGATCTTGTTACACCTTAAAAACAAAAGAACTGTTCTGATCCCTCAAAGTTTTTTAGTGGAGGGAGAAGTTTGTCTAAAGCAGCCTTTAAATGTTCAATATGGTGCTTATTGATCAGTAATGTGTTGTAACTATAGCAACAGCTTTGAAAAAAATGTATATACCATATATATATATAAGTATTTTAAATTTACTCAAAGTATAAAGTAGCATAAAATGATGATAATGATTTACAGTACCTCAAAACTGTACTTTAAAAAAACAACACAACAAGCTGTATTTTCCACAATGCATTTCACCTATCCCAGGAATATTTCAGCGAATCACAATGTATTTCATCAGTCACATGTCATAAAAATTATGACATCATGGATGGAACGCACACGTCTCATGCGGGTCTAAAGGGAGAAACATGCAGACGTCACATCTGGTCTTAAATATATAAACACATATTTTGCATCTGGTCTTAATGGGTTGTACTTTGTGAACAGTTCCTGTTCCCGTTCCTCCATCTGTCCAAATAAACCTTTCAGACTTTAAATTTGACTTAATTATAGATTTAAAGTTATCCAAAAACTATTGATTACTACACTGAAAGCTTTACAAAGTTTTACAGCAGTTGCATCAGACCGAGTTATATTGTACGGGTGCGGCATTTTCTGCGTCCACCCACTGTTCCTTGCACTTGCATCAGTAGTTGTGGGGTTTCCTGAGCAGGTTAGAAACTCTTGAGGTCAAAGTCGTCATGGCTGTCATCTATGAATGCCAGAGGCGTGCTGGATTTGTTTGGCCTGTACATAGCTCCAGTATTTGCTCTGCCCCGCTGGTCGCCAAGGGTCTCCATAACCATTAACCAGCCTCCTCCATTGTTGCATACGTATCACATTCCTGAGACCTTATTCACCAGCAGTTTACACAATGCACGGGTTATGTGTGTTTCTCATGCCATGTGGGAACCAAAACACACAGTATCACTGTGTAAAATCAGCAAACACTGAGATAATTCATTAAAGTTCTCCACTTTGATTTAAACTTAATATGCCACTTAGTTGTGTCAGCCTGCAGGTAGTGTCTGTATCATCCTTGTGAGGATGTGTTATGAATGCGGGCTGCAGCCAGCCAAGGTTATCTTCACAGATAAAAACACAGCAGCTACACGATGCAAGGTTCAGATCTGAAGCCACCGTGCACCAAGGCTAAAAACAACATCCAACTTTTTTAAGCACAGCTGAACACATAGAATATATGAGTTTCATTATTTGCATAAATATACTGTTGAATCTGGTGCGTGATCCAAACCCTGAATGCAGCTCTTTATTATACACTGAAATAAAATGATGCTAATGACTTATTTTGATGTATTACTGTTGACATTAGAATGACATATTGCCTGTTTGGTTGCAAAAGCACACACAGATATTCCTTCAGCTCTTAAAATCAGTGTGCAGTTCAGTGCTGGAGGATTTTACATGAGAGTGAAGTCTATAATGTATGTCACTTTCTTTGGGACAGTAAATCAGCATTAACTCGATCAACTGCATGAATTGCAAAAAGTGCCTGATTTGTTATCTTTCATATAATAATATGATGCATCATTATTTATCTTGAAATCAAATTGAAATGTCTGGAAATGCTATCTACTTATTTGATTACTTGTGCTGGTTGTGGATGTCTGTGTTGCCAGTGCCTATCATTTGAGGACTGGATATTAGGTCCTGGATATTACCGGTGGTCCATTAAGCATGTAAAAAATGAATATCGTCAGCCCATCAGAGGTCAATGTTTGAACAAGTTTCACGGTCCAGACAAAAAGGTAACGAGGGCCTCGGGGTTAAATAGCTCAAAACCGAACCATTAAGTGATCATCTCTGATGAGTAAGATGCTGACTAACAATCTAATAGAATGAAGCCAGGGAGCACAAAATGTGAACATACTTTTCTCCTCCTTGACCCAAAGAAAAACCATCAAAGTAGGATCTGTTTAAGAAAGAAATATGACTTTAAATCATGAAAGGTCTTTAAAATCACGAGTGGGAGAGGATCCGTGTGTTGAACTTCAGACTGCAGATCTGTAACTGCTACTGTACGAGAGCCTGTGGAGTGTTTAAACAGAACTGACGGTAAACAAGGTCATTTGCAATGAATCATTGTTTCATTTCCATTTTTGAACTACAACAGCCTGATCTCACCACTACACATGAGTCAGACATGTGACCTCTGTTGTACATGAACCCTCCTCAATATTATTTGTTTGCTGTCACCTCTGTGCTGTAAGCTGTCGAAATGAGATGCAAACGAGAGTCTACAGTCACAGCACTGCTTCAGTGAAAACACTGTCCACACTAATGTAACTAATCCAGTTTTTCCTCTGCGTTCGGGCCTCTCGTCTACATTTTTTAAATGTTTGCAAACGCCTACCGAAGTGCCGATTTTCAAAAACTCTGGGTTCTATGTACCCATGTGTACATTTTAAACCGAGCGTTAGGGAAAAGACGACGTCACATGAATTATCATTACTTATTCTCTGACGAGGACACTGAATCTCAGTGATTTTATATTGTCACATGTTGTGTTATTAGCAGCCCTGACACTACGACAGTGCCACACGACCATGTCACAAAGTTACATTTTAAAACAACACCAGCAAAATGTCAAAAAAGTCAAACTGCTCCAAACGTCCAAACCAACGAAAGTGATCCCAGTGAGCCAAAGGAAACAGGCATATCATGGCTGTAAAAAAGGTTTGGCTAATCACAGAACAATATATAGTTTACTATAGTAGTATCATTTTTATTTGTCTATTATTGCTGATGTCCTTGTCTCTCGCTGTCCCCCCTAAACCACCACTTGAGGGAAAACAAAGGGAATAATGTGTCATTTTAAAGCCACAATCTAAGCTTTTTTTTTTTTTTGGTTTCTTCTCTAGGACAAAAGATGCTGAGCCTGTGATAGGAAAGGAGATTCAGGTTACAGTCTGCAACGAGGAAAAGGTCGTCTGTGGAGTTACAAAGCACACGACTTGTGCAGATATGATTCAGGCGTTACTGGAGGATCACAAGTCAGTCCCTGGGAGCAAGTGTGTCCTGCAAGGAGAACCCAAAGATTTCTGTCTGGTTGAGCGCTGGAAGGGTTTCGAGAGAGCGTTGCCTCCTCTCACCAGAATCCTGAGGCTGTGGCATGCCTGGGGTGACCAGAGACCCTTCATCCAGTTTATTCTTGTCAAAACCAGTGATTTTGTGCCTCAACCGACTAAGAAAGCTCTAAAGTCTAAGGGGGCCAAGCCAAAGCGGTGGGAGCATGGTCGTGCACAGTTCCCCCAGTCTCTGCCAGTGGAGAAGCAAAAGCGCATGGTGAAGAAAGCTTTCAGGAAGCTGGAGAAGCTTCACAGTGACAGCAAGAGCTCCCCGGGCGCAGAGGAGATTGAGCGCATGGTGCAGCTTATTCTCAACCAGGACCAAACCATCCGGGAGCAGATCCAACACATGAGGGAGCTGGACGTGGAGATCGAGCAGTTTGAGCTACTTGCACAGAGAGAAGCTGAGTGCGAGAGCGCATTGGCTCAGGCTTGTGCTCAGAGTTTGGAGGTGCACAGTGAGGAGCAGCTGCAGGAGTACCTGTACACCAGCGATGGAATTGAACAGCTTGAGCTGCAGGTTCAGAGACACCAGGAGCTCATCTTTCAGCTGTCCCGGGATATAGACACCGAGCTGAGGAGGACTGCCTTCCCACTGGACCAAGATGACGAGGATGAACAGGAAGGAGCAGCAGCCGCTTCCCTGATTCCCTCCAGGAAAGACAAGTCATTCTACACTGCCGATCTCGAGAGGCTGCAGGATGAACTGAAGCACAGCCTCTTTACCGGTGTCGCCCTTCACAATCAAGCTGCAGAAATAAAAAAGCAGCTCAAGTACTTTGACACTGCGCTGGTCTCCAAGGACCAGGAGTGCTGGCAGCTGGCTGCCCAGCTGAGCTCGCTGCAGATCGGGGACAGCACGGAGGATAAGCCCAGTCTTTCCCCACTGAAAAGTGAGACTCAGTGCAGCGTCTCACAGACAGTGAAACTCAAACACAGCCTGTCCCCTCTAGACATTACAGACACAGACTCAGACACCGGGATTAGCTCCACACACAGTCAGGACTCGCTGTCACCGTGTCTCGACTTCCCTCCCCCACTGGATACAGACGTTTGAAGAACCCAGCTGACCCTGCAGTTTCATGCTCAGTCTGCAGCCCCAGTATGTGTCTCTCAGGTGTTATCATTACAGCTGAGCGTGTGTGAGTCCGTCAGAGAAATCCCTGCTTACCCTCATCAAACAAGAAAGTTATTTAACTAGAGCTAAAAAAAATGTGATTATACATTTTCGGTCTACAACTTTTTTCATAATCAATTCAATGTTTCATTAATGTTTCAAGTAAAAAATGTTTTGCATATTTGTAGACATTCATGCAATTTGAGGATTTCACTTTGTGTTTGTTTGTTAACATTCTCTAGTACTTCAGGGATCTGATTACTCTTTTTAATCCAGAGTTTTTTCAATAACTGTAACGAGTGTTAATGACAAAATAATGCTTCAGACTGCATCTCAGATGTAATGATGAAACATGGAAGGCACAAACTGGAGCCATATATGCATCAACTACTCTCAGTGTCACTATCACTGTTTCTTGCTCCGTAATTGTCGACATTTAATCATGTATTTTGCCTCCATCGAAGAAAGTGACAGACATTTTTAATGTATGCCAGGCGTAGTAACTTAAAAGAATTAGTTTTATTATTAGAATGTATTTGTATTGCCCCTCGTAAAGTTCTCTAGCTTTTTATGAAGCTGCACTTCTTTGTACACACTAATGATAATCTATTAACAATGTTTTATATTAAAACAAATAGCTAACTGGTTTGGATGTAGAATTTGTTATGTATCATTGACTACACTGTAAATATGCTGCTGTATCTATAAGGACCTAATTTGATAAAGGAACTGAGAAGATATTTATTCATCATGTAATTGTATTTCACACATGATTGTTTCCCCTCTCAGGCAATGATCTCTATCTAATCTCAATCTGATCAAACATTCAGCTACAAAATATTAGTAATTTAATAATATTTGCAAAATAAACAGTTTAAATATCTGTGTAAACATGCTTAAAAACAAACAATGATAAAGTAGATTGTACATTTCCACTTTCATAATAAACACTAATGCTGTAAATGGCACCAAGAGTAATTCTTGAGTTATTTGAATATGGTTCATTGCAACAAAGTTAAGGTCTTTTCACACCAAGTCTGTATTTTTGGTCAGAACATTTGGCATGTTTGAAATACATACAACGTCAGGTTGTGTCACTCACATCAACACCATGACTCCAGTGCGTCTTTATAGTTTTCGTGTTTCAGAGAGTTGTTTCAGCTGTTTGGATGTATCACAGAAATGATTTCCTCCTTTAATGTGCCGTCTCAGTGCTTTTAGCATATCTAACTGAACCACTAACCTCTTGAAATAGACAAATGCAAAGATTTCAGTTTGATGGCTCTCTCAAACCTCTCAATCACCACAGAGAAATGACACAGCTACCTGAACAACCCTCTCCGATCACCGCACCATATAATCAGACAAGATGGTCGCCAGGCAGGCACAAACGGCTAGTGCTCTCCTCTAGTCAAGGTACTGCTGACAGACTAACACTTTGTGCTCGGGGCAGAGCAGGCTGGCTGCTGGAACAGCAGGGTATCTGTTTCACACACTAATTGCTCATCTGCCCTTCCCTCCCACCTCCCACCTCCCGCCTCCTCCCTCAGTGCTTCAAGCCACTGAGTAACTCCACCAAGCATGAAAGGCCAAAAGATCTTACAATGTGAACAATCTCGCACTGGTGCCCCGCGCTTGTTGATGGAGCAGGGGTTTATTACGGTACTTTTAACATGTTCTGACTCACTGACAGGCACACACACACCGAGCTGGAACAAAAGAGCATTTCATGGAAGTTATATTCTAATGCTAATTTGACCTGTCTTGAGATAGTGGCAGTTTTAAGGAAAAGATTGTTGAATGACTGAGTCACTGAAGCAGATGCCAGGTGGACACTACAGGGGCTGACACTTGGGTCTAAAGTAGTTTTTCGTCAAATGAAGAGTTACTTCTAGTGCAGCAAGAAGAGCTAAATTCCAATATTTTAAAAAGGCAGATGCCACAAATGTTCTCAAGGCACTAGCAGGACATAAATACCAGATGGAATGAATTGTTTTTTATTATTTGCTCCATTCCAAAGAACATTCATCTTTTCTGTGACCAGTTTTTCATCAGAAACAGTCCCCTACACGTTCAGCCTGTAAAACAGACTGAGAGCGTGGCTTGTTTAGAGAAACAGAAGATTTTTAATCTGCACAGGGAACCAACAAAATGAACTCATTTCACCTCATTATTTTATTGACAGACATGTTGATGCACCTGCTGTTCTTCACTGATGAAATTAACTGATTTTGGGTCTTTTTTTTTTGTCAAGATAAGATTTAGTTTTTAAGGGCTGAAGCTGCCAAAACAAAAACGTGTAAATAAATAACCTAACAATACAGAATATGTATTCACATTTATTTATACACTTATTCACATATTTCAATATTTATTAAGTCACTTATTTATTTATTGAATTTAAAATTTTTACATTACATATCATTTAGCCAATGCTTTGGTCCAAGGCGATTTACAATAAGTGCATCAACCATGAGGGTACAGACCCAGAACAGCAAGAATCATGTAAGTACAATTTAATTCAAAAAAGCCAAACCACAGTAGATGCAATATAAATGCTACCAAGCTTAATTTGTTTTAACTATCAACACCAGAGTTGATAATGGTTATTAGACATCATCTTCTTACTAAGGGGAAGGAAAAGTAGCTCGGTCTTGTCAAGGTTGATTCTCAGGTGGTTTGCGGACATCCACTGAGAAATGTCAGTCAGACAGGCAGAGATTTGTGCTAGTACCTGTGTTTCAGATTGGGGAAAAGAGAATTAGTTGGGTGTCATCTGTGTAGCTTTGGTAGGAAAAGCCATGTGATTGAATGACAGAGTTGGTGTACAGAGAGGAGAGGACCCAGGACGGAACCTTGAGGGACCCCAGTAGTGAGAGGACAAGGTTCTGACACAGATCCTCTCCAAGTTACCTGATAGGTAAAGTCTTTGAGGTAGGGTGAGAGCAGGGAGAGAGAGCAGAGCCTGAGACACCCAGACTCTTAATGGAGGTAATAAGGATCTGGTGGTTCACTGTATCAAATTCATGTCATTCATGTAAGCACCCTCCTTATCCGCTGCCTGCTGACGCCATGGAAACGTTTTTTGCTTAGTCGATCGTTTGGGGGGCATTGAACGTCGATCTGTTCAATCTGATTCAATCAGATCAACCGACCCAATCAGATACTTTGAATGACTTGCAGCTGGAACCAATCCAACTTTATACAGAGTTAATTCCGCCCATGTTATTAACATATCAATAAATACAGAGATAAATAAATGTGGAAAGGTAAAAATACAGATAGAATAAATATATAAATGAATATATAAATAAATACATTTAGAAATACATAAATAAGTAATTGAATGTATAAATAGATACACCAAACTCTATTTATTCTATTTTTCATATCAATTTTATGTATTCAAAGGTTTAAGCATTTACTTTAATTTAAATATTATCAAGCTGTTTATTTATTTATTTTTCATTTTGGCAGTTTCGGGCCTCCATTGTGTTAAAGTGCCCAAAGTAATTTAACATAAGCAGCACAGAACATTAGAAACCTCCACCATTCAGTGCTGGAGACTGTGGAAGGTTTGTGAAGGCAAGGTGTCTGTTATCCATAACAATTAATAGTCTTTACACTGTTGTTCCATTTTTAACTAATCAGATCTGATACCTGATGGCGCCCAAGTGTCCCTGGTCTTTCTCTCACCTACTTCCCCCTCCCAACTATCTCTCTCTCTTCTCTCCCCTCTGTTCCACCCATCTCTCATCTCCTTCCCCTGTTTTCTCTGCTCACCCCGGTCGAGGCAGATGACCGTCCACATTCAGTCTGGTTCTAGAGGTTTCTCTCTGTTAATGAGGGAGTTTTTCTTTCACAGTCTCCAAAGTGCTGCTCATTGTGGGAACTGTTGGGTTTCTTTATATTTTGATTTTAAGGTCCTGACCTTCTATGTAAAGTGCCTTGAGATTATGTATATTATGATTTGGCGCTACACAAATAAAATTGAATTGAATTGAGTTGAATCTTATAACTGAATCAGAGAAGAAGCTGCCGTTCCCCTGCTGCTGTTCCCAGTTTCAGGGAGGCTGCATATGTTTGTCTCCTCTCTCTGCCGCAGATCAGCAATTCAAAGACAAGGCAGTTGCAAAAGCATTTGCCAACAACAATAATTACATGGACCAAAATGACAATTAGACTGACTGCAAACGTGTTGTCGCTCAGCCCTCCTACTCATCACCACTGGCCAGTTTGAGAAAACCATAATTTGCTGTCGGCTATGAGTCAAGTGCTGAATGTGAACAGTGCAGTGATTTTTTTTAATAGGATGTATTATTTTAACCAACATATATTAAATAAATGAATTACATATGTAATATTCTTGCTAGACTGAAGCACATTGACAAATCTACCAAACAGCGGCCTTTCATCACATGTGACCTTTTTCTGGCCCCACGTTTAATCTTCTTGCACAGAAGGAAGCAGTGAGATAAGACTCCACCAGACGTGACGTGAAGGAAACTGTACGCACAGATTGTTGTGGCTATACCGTGTATGATCTGGTTGGGTAGCTTTCACCAGCAGTGAGGGACAACACTGAACTGTAATTTAACACATTTCAATGGCCTAGAATTGAAAGCAAACATGACTCCTCACATATTGTTTCATTAGCATGGCAGTTTAAAAACAGATTTTGGCTGACCCTGTGGATGTCATAATAGAGAATCTAAATCAGCTGGATTGAAGATATAATTACCCATAACTAGAGCTACCCATCAGTCAATCCATGTCTCTATCTATAGGCACGAAAAGTATTATTAAAAGCTTCGAGTAATTGAGGAGATTAAGATGTTTGCTTTGCTTCTTAACCCCACAGGCACTTTTCTACTCTCATGTGAAATAATTACATTTGGCTCCAGTATCAGAATCATAACTGGACAGACAACATCAAGAGGTGGAGCGGCCTCGCTGCCAGAAATGTAAGAGAGGTAGAAAAGGGTCAACGATCTGACACATACATGACAATGACGATGACGCTGATGATTATTACTATACTAAAAACCGTTTAAACACATTTTAAAGTAAAGAAAGCAATTTGCAAGCTTTGACAGTTGAGGAAAGAATCAATATTTGATGCAAACTGTACCAGTTTGAGAGTTTGATACTGAATTCTCAAATTGATTTGTCATTTGTTTCATCAGTCCTTGTAAAACGATGAATGAGACACACTGAGGCTGCACAAAAGCTGAAGGAGATTTGAAATAACCACTGACCAGTGTTTGATAAAAACCATTAAGTTACTGATTGTTAAAATCAACAAATTCTGAACTGTCACTGTGCTGCCTGTCAACTGACGATAAATTAGCCTCTAGGGACACGGACAATATCTGGTGTGGACAGTGAATACCTGTCCGTTGTACACTGTATACAGTCCCACTAGTTTCTTTTATCACAGGAGTTGAATGTTTCTTCGCACACAACACACACAGTGGTACCTTTTGTAGGTGTTTTAGGTCCAGACAACATTTTGGCTCATCTCTATTAACAGCTATCTGCATACGAATGCAGTTAAATCAAAATGCTGAGAGCCGATCTCTTGCTCTCCACTGCTGGCAACCAAAACCTGCTCCAACCAAATTGGTCAAACTAGAAACAGAAACTCGAAGACTTCCAGCCCCCAAATTGTGTCCCTCACCTTTCGGGAGAGTGTATGTTCAGCTGCTTGTAGAGCAGTCAGATGGTTCCCACGTGCTTGTGCCAAAAACCTGCAGTGCATCTTTGTTTGGTGGTGTTCCCACAACACGCCCAACACTTTACGATTCATTCTAAGAAAAATAGATTCACTTTACGCCTCACCACATTTAACAAACCTAGAATCATAATGTATAATTGGGATATGGGTTGGGATGAAAGTTATGTTAAATGCATCCAAATTACCCAGCACATTTACTGATGTTT